TAATAATGCCGGGATTTTCGCCTACATTTACGGTGCAAGGGCAAATTTATCATAGAATAGGTTCACTTTTTCCAGCTGAAAACGAACAACATAAATTTTTACAAGTATATTTTATGGGTTACGAAGAAATTGAGGTAGACCGTCGCTGCCAATTTATCCAGGGAGTTGAGAGAGACGCATTGTTCAAAATTCAAAGATTCTTGCATGAACGTAACATTTTAGACAAAACATTTAAAACTACTTTAGAAAACCTACCTACACACAAGTTTTATGACGCTCTGCAATACCCATTGATTAATTGCTAAGGACAAGAGGGTTATCATTTTCAAATTCCACTCATTAACTCGGTCACAAAGGAGCCTACTCCGATTATATACATTTACAAGATGCAGTTTCTAGCGACGCCAATGTAAACCCCAGAGATTTAGGTAAAATGGTAATTCTGCCCTCATCATTCGATAACAGTCCCCGCTACCTACTTGAGTACACACAAGACACATTCACCTATGTACGAACTTACGGAACACCTGATCTTTTTGTTACTTTTACTTGCAATCCCACGTGAATAGAAATAACCGAGGAGCTAATGCCGGGCCAAAAAAGTACTGACAGACACGATTTAGTTGCTAGAGTATTTAGATTAAAAGTACGAAAATTAATGTATGTAATTAACAAAGGGAAAATTTTCGGAGAGGTGCAGTGCTTCATGTATTCAATTGAATGGCAAAAAAAGAGGATTACCGCATACCCACATTCTAATATGGCTTAAAGAGAAGTTGCGGCCCAGCCAAATAGACGACATAATAATCGCCGAGATCCGGATTCTTTATCTTGCTCAGGATCCGGAATCCGGATCCTGAGCAAGATAAAGAATTGTATGATACCATCGTCCGAAATATGATTCAAGGATTGTCCCGTATTCGCCCATTCTATGTAAAATGTTTAATGCCCACATTAATATAGAAATAATACTGTCCGCGCAATCAAATATATCTGTAAGTACATAAATAAAGGAAGTGACCAAGCAATATTTAATCTCAGGAGTGAAGGTGAGGCAAATCCCGTTAATGAAGTACAGATCTTTCAAACAGGGCGTTATGTTAGCAGTAACGAGGCAGTGTGGCGTCTCCTTGGCTTCCCTTATCACAAAAGGCACCCAACAGTTACTCACCTTGCTGTGCACTTAGAAAATGGAGAGCGTGTATATTTCACCGAAAGAAATTTCCAAGAAAGAATTGCATCACCACCAAAAACTACACGAACAGCTTTCTTTCAACTTTGTTAAACAGACCCCTTTGCAAAAACGTTGTTATATTCTGAAGTCTCCCACTATTATACTTGAAACACATCTAGGAAGGAGTGGAATCGCCCTATTCAAGGCACGCCTGTTGCAAATAGGCCCGGTGTAAAGTCATCAGATGCCCTTGGTCGTGTGTATACCGTCCATGTAACTAATTTTGAATGTTTCTGTTTACGATTGCTACTGCACCATGTTCGGGTCCTACAGGATATAAAGACCTTAAAACTGTCAACGGTCAGGAATGCACAACTTATAGAGAAGCATGTGAAGCTCTGCATCTTTTAGAAAACGATAATCACTGGGATGAAACCATGGAGGAAGCTGTGCAGTGCCAGTCACCAGCCAAAATTAGGGATCTTTGTGCAACTCTCATATCATCTTGCGGGCTATCTAGTGCATATAAATTGTTGGAGAAATATAAAGAGTACATGGCGGAAGATATTTTGCGAAGGTTACAGCAGACACACGCGAACATGACATACAATGAAGACATTTATAATGAAGCACTTGGAAAAATTAAAGATAAAGTAATGGCAATGGTAGGCAAAAAATTAAGCGACTTTGGAATGATAAGCCCTCGGCGAACAACCGAAAATGAACTAAGTGATGAAATTATACGTGAAACAAAGAACGATATACCAGCTTTATAGCAGCAAGTAGCCGAATTTGTACCGCGCTTGCTTCCCGAACAAAAACGAGTTTTTGACAAAGTATTAGGACAAATTGAATCTGGAAATGGTGCACTTTTCTTTTTAGATGCCCCTGGAGGAACTGGGAAGACATTTTTGTTAAATTTATTATTAGTGAAAGTACGGAAAGATAAAAGCATTGCTGTGGTCGTAGCTTCTTCCGGTAGAGCCGCCACGCTGCTAAGCGCACTGCACATTCTGTTTTAAAACTCCCTCTAAATCTAGCCCAGGAAGAATCGCCGATCTGCAACTTTAGGAAAAATAGTGCACGAGGTATAATGCTACGACAATGCAAACTTTTAGTGTGGGACGAAAGTACAATGTCGCATAAAAAAGCTGTGGAAGCACTAAATCGAACGCTCCAGGATTTGCGCAGCAATACCGATGTAATAGGAGGATTGGTGGTTTTACTGGCTGGTGACTTTCGCCAAACTTTACCTGTCATTCAAAAGGGCACACCTGCAGATGAAATTAAAGCATGACTCAATTCGTCTATTTTATGGAACAAGGTGATAAAATTCAGTTTAACTACAGAGAAACTATGCTGACACACTATTAAAAATTGGCGATGGGCGGTTGGAAACTGATGCTAAGGGCTGCGTTAAATTGACGAGAGATTTTTGTAATTTTGTACAGAGTCATTCCGAATTAATTGCGAGCGTTTATTCAGATTTAACGAACAACATGCATGAAGACAAATGGTTATGAGAAAGGGCGATAGTTGCACCAGAAAATGAGAGCGTTAACAAAATAAATTCAGATATATTGAGCGAAGTAGCAGGAGAAATAACAGAGTATTTGTCAGTAGACACAGTTATGGACACAGAACAGAGCACTTCATATACCGTAGAGTTTCTAAATTATCTAGAGTTGTCAGGTGTGCCCTCACATAAGCTTCAATTAAAATTAGGCATCCCAGTCATGCTAATGCGAAATTTAGATGCTCTTCGGTTATGTAACGGGACAAGGCTGCGTGTGACACATCTCGGACGGAATATAATTCATGCTACAATTTTGACAGACGTAGGAAAAGGTGAAAATGTTATTATACCACGTATCCCTATAATTCCCACAGATCTTCCTTTTCAATTCAAAATGTTGCAGTTCCCTACTAAGCTCAGTTTTGCAATGACAATTAATAAAGCGCAAGGGTAAACGTTACAGGTAGCGGGGTCAACTTAGAAAAACCGTGCTTTTCATCATGGTCAGCTGTATGTAGCATATTCGCGTGTGTCAAATGCCCAGAATTTCCACATTCTTTCCCCGAATGGAAAAACATATAACATTGTACACAGTAGCACCTTAAAATAGTGTTCAGTTAGTTTTTTTTTTCAAAATTCCCACAATCAATTAATCAGAATTCCCACAGATGTTCCCTTTGTATTCAAAATTTCCTATTTAGCTCAGTTTCTTTTCAATTCCAAATACTGCACCTCTGATGGACCTATTAAGCTCAGTTTCCTTTCTACTCAAAAGGCTGCATCTCTGACGGATCTTTTATTTGGCTCAGTTTCCTTTTAATTCAGAAAACTGCATCTCTGACGAATTAATTTAGCTCAGTTTCTTTTCAAAAGTCCGCATTCCTGACGGATAATTATGCTCAGTTTCCTTTAATTAATAAAATATCCCATTTCCATTTGGAATAAACAGGCTATTTTCATGCTTTCCAAACGTTGCGTTTCAAAACATTTAAATAGGCTGACGAATCAATTTTGCTCTGTTTCCTTTTAATGGCTGCATCTCTGACAAATCTATAAAACTCAGTTTTCTTTCAATTCAAAAAGCAATGGATAGTTCATTTCCCAGTGACCATGCGGGCGAAGCCGCGGGTAACAGCTAGTATATATATTATTATTAATATATATACACCAACCGTACACTTGCATAATATCCAAACTCAAAATTTACTGAACTACGATCGAATTTTGATCACCTGGAAACCACAAGTAATAATAAATCAGCAATCTGAATATGACATCCATTGAAACCACATAAGTAATAATTGGTAGAGTCACAGGGAAATCTTGAGTCGGTTCATCCAGAAAAGAAGCTTTCACAGACTAGTGAGAGCATGATATTTCCACGTAGTTCAGTGTGTTATTGTGGTGGCGCTGTCGTCGTGCCGCAAGCGAAACATACTGAAGCTTAAATCACGCTATCGAAATTCCGAATCATAAACAATATATATATATATATATATATATATATATATATATATATATATATATATATATATATATATAGAACATCTTCGAACTATCACATGGAACTATTGACTGCTCCCTGCGCAGAACACCTTGCCCGGCGGGTGATCTCCCCTTTTCCTTCCACGGCCACAGTGGTGACCACCCGACGTGATCTGAACACGCAACCAACAACCTTCGGAAACTCCAAGTTTCATCATCGTCATAGAATACCACACCCATTCACTTTCGAGCAGATATCGTCTGCAGTCTTCATATCCTGCAAGCCATCTAGCTTCACAGGTTCATCGCAGCACTGGAATAGTAATGCTTCCTGTTCCTTCAAGCTACTCTCTGCGCTATACAGTGTTTGGCACGGCTGTGAGCCTTTATGCTCGCCTCTGCTTCACGGCACTTTCGCAGATTACTTGCCTTCTTCTCGACTCACCGCAGACTACAAGGCAATCTCCTGGCACTTGCTCATTCGTCAACGACGAGACTGCACTATCGACCTCCGGTCTGAGCAGGGGGGTGATGTGGCGACGCTGTCGTCGCGCCGCAAGCGAAACATAGCGAAGCCTAAATCACGCTAACAAAACTCCGATTTATAAATAGTATATATAGAACATCTCCGAACTATCACACGGAGTGTTGGCCGCGGCCCGAGCAGATCACCTTCACCCGGCGGATGATCTCCCCTTTTCCTTTCACGGCAGTGTCGAGAACTGAAGAACCGAGTACCTAACCAATTTTTAAATAAAAAATTATTTACTTCTCAATTTAAGGTACTCAGATCTTAATCATATTGTTGTCTTACATTTCTTACAGTTTTATCACCATCGTCACGTCGAGGATTCATCGTGGTGGGATTATGCATTGTTTTGCAGGTAATTAAATAACTTAGCATCACATTATAACTATCAATACAGCCCATAACATTTCTACTGCTGAACATAGGGTTCAGAGTTCAGCTATAGATTACCAAAAAAGGCCCCTCCATCTATCGGCTACCTACATGATTTATCATCAGGTTGTCATTCCATTAACACTGAGATTGCCATTGCAAGTCTGCTTGCTTCGAGTTTATATGCCTGACCCACAGCCACCTCATATTACTGCATGACTTAGTGCAGCATGCTTTGTGGTAACCATGCTGCACTAAGTCATGCTAAGGTGGAAACCTTGTGCTTCAACACACAGCCAATAACATAAACTTATCCACTTTACAGGAGAAAGGCCAAGTGTGGGAGTAAAAGTTTTTTTAGAATAAAAATGTGTTTGTTGTAACATCTACGGGCAAAAGCGTGACATGACTTGTCATTATGTAGACTTAGCATTTATGTTATTTTGAAAACAGTATGGGAACGGGTACAAGTGTATTCTACTGAATCGTGGAAGTGTCTTTTATACGTATTTAATAATAGCCTAACTGTACTATTAATAAATTTAAGATATATGAAGTACATTTACGAAGAAGCAAGCAATGTCACAAAATACCGATTAATTTGGCAAAGATATTCCTTTCCAAACACACAAGAAGACACAAGGTTTCTCTTAGATGGGATTTCTTTTACAAAAGTTTTTTTTTTTGAAAAATGCGGGTGATAAACCTGTACATAGCCTACCTGATGTTAAGTACATTTGTCTTTGACTAGCGGTCGCCCGCGACTTTGCTTTGCGTACAACCTCTGATTTCCTATGAGATTATGATATTATTTCGCTACAGAAATCCTACCTATATGAAGTCTATATAAAGCTTATACAAATATTTATTACAAATTGATGATGCAGTAATGTTACGTTATCCACTCGGAATTTAAATATCCTTAAAGGCCAAAATAATAACCGAATGTGCTCAAAGGGAAACAGTATTCATACTACGAATACTTAATACCATCAGAATACCCTTTGAGTTTCACATTCCACGCTAATTCCATGCGGATCTTCAAAATAGCACAACACCACACGAACACCATCACATCTTTTGACGATATTTTTATCGCTGTCTTGTACATTGTTGTAATATTGTTGTTTTAATTTTGTTGTTCAAATTTTTGCAAGGTCCATGGATCATATTGACTTTAATAATTTCATTTATATTTGTAAGAGTAATTTGCTGCTCAAGCCACAGCAAAATATGGATATGAGGTAGACCTCGCTTTTGCCATTCGACAGAATGTATATAGCAACGAACGTTTCCAAATTTTACTTTTCATTTATTGTCAATAATACTTTTAATTTTAAATAAAATACCCGTGTTATAACGTCATGTCGATCCTGTGATTTCTGACCAGGCAGCAATGTATCTGCAATATCTTTCTATCGAGGATTGCACGTTAGTGTAATAAAAAGATCAGAGCGACTGTAATGGCGGACGTAGGTCATTGCATCGAGATGATTCAATTAAAGAAAAGGTAGTATTACCATATGACCAAGTTTAACAATATTGGTGTCCTACCGCCCTATTACATCTTTCAAATGTACACAATTATCTACACTGAGCTGCGCTTGGTTGTCCCTGATGTAATATAATTTTTCTGTTTCAATTTTTGCGTACATATCAACTAAATATTGACTAAAAAGTGTACGATGGTACAGCAACTAATTTTCGTCTACTTGTCTGATTATAATGTGATAAAAATAAAAATTTTGTGCCGACACATAATTTTAGGTTAAATAAATAGGTCGAAACCTCTTCAGTCGTCGGGCTACGAATGCACCCTATTACGTCTGTAACGCCAACCTCCACAGAGACTTAGAACTTCCGACAATTCAGAAATTAAGGACTCCCACGTGAAATAAGTCAGAATAGTTTCCTGGGCTCTCAAAACGCCAAAATCTGATGATAATTCGATTTTCGAAAATCGGAATGAAACCAATAACTTCCCTATTTTTGAAAATTTTCAATTTTCTTAGCGGGAAGTTAAAAAAATTAAAGAGATATGGAGACCCATATAATTAACTTTTGCAGCCTGTATAACTCTACATCTATACTTAGAAAAAGACTTTTCTTTTATAATATATACGGAACCCTTTATATGATGGTCCGACTTGCACTATTCCATAAAACACGTATTTTTTTTAAATATAAGGCCACTATACTAAGTTTCGTGCATATAACTTGAAAAGTGACGGGATTTCATACAAATTTCCAACACCTATTTAAGACTTATGGGGTGGAATTTTTAAAAACTGTGAAACCCATACCTATTTAATTTAAAACAGTAGCTAAAATACTGAATTTCGTGAATATTATTTGAAAATGACGGAATTCGGATTTTGGGGATAGAATTTTCAGTAACTGTGAAATACACATTTCTTTGTTTTTAATCGAAAGGCAAAATACCAATTTTCATATTGTAACGCTCCCCCCCTCTCATAATAATAAATATATTAGATTAAATATAATCAATTCTTCTTTATAATAAAACTTATATATATGTGACCAGGATAAATAAAATATGTTTTGATCTTTCTAAATGATCTTTCAAAAGGTTTATTAATAGGCCGATTTTAATATTTTGGCGTGATCGTCTTAGTTAGGACCCTTATTTACGTTGTGTTTGTTTAGTAACTTAGTTCTTTTAGGTGTCTTTTGGAAGAATGAATATTCACTAGAGCAATTGAAAGCTGTTGGTAGTGCCTTATAAGCTAAGTGAACCCCGTTCACGAAGACAGGGCTCGAAAAAGGTTAAGAACATAAAACGTCCCTATTCCACTTGCATCAGGTTTACATTATTAATTATCCCTTCCCGCTCGGAAAAGGGAAAGGAAAGTTTATACAAAATACCCGATACAAGGGATTCGCTCTCCTACATTTATTTAAAAAAAAAAATGTAGGGGAGGTACACGGCCCCACACACGCCGTGCGCGGTGAGCGCCAACCGTTGTGATGCACTCCCCCCGAAGGGAACGCTAATTCGGGAACTGGACCGTAGTCCACAGCAAAATAACTGGCGAACCAGTAAAAGAGGCTTGGCCCCTTGTTAGTGCGTAAGCACAAACATCGACCGAAGTCGCGCATGTTAATGCGTGTAAACGCCATACAGAATACGAACGAATCCAGCCACAGTGAATGTACGTCACACGGTTTAGGCAAATAGGCACACTGGCCGTAAACCCTCCGTGAGCGCCACCACCTGCCAGACCGCCGCTCCTGCAGACGTGATGTAAGTGTATGGCATCACCACCAATTGCATGATCAGCACGGCTACTAGCCGCTGAGCGTGTCATGAGTCTACCGCTCACCTCAAGGGAATGGGGTCCCACGTTGTGCGGCTTTCGGCCGCAGCCTTGAGAGTCTCCTCAGATCCTCCCGCCAGCTACCACCCGCATGAGGTCGACACATATGCTCCACCAACCAATACAATGGCAGATATAGCCAAAAGGCAGTTATAAGATAAGAGTAATAATTCGCCATCAGAAAGGGTTTGTGTCACTGACGTTGAGTAAATGCATTTTCGATCATGTTTGTCTCACCCACCGACAAGTTGCCTTCAATCATTCAAAGGTGGGAAAGTTACAGAGATATAATATTATGTTGTTATATAAAACATCGTGGAGGGCAGACAGTCTGCAGCCCCGTAATGAAGGGACCCGACTTGGGCAAAGCTACTCAGGTTTGAGTCAATCCAAGACGCAGAGAGCGCCATTGAGAGTAGCGTCTCACCAAACAACCATCGCAGAGACGCAATGCTGCAGAACGCAACAAGCATCAATACGACTATCGTCGGGCTTACACCATTCCAAGGTCCCCCATGAATCCCAGCGGACATCACCACCTGCATACCTCCATCGACCAGAACCACAAGAGTGCGTCGAATCAGGCGCAGCACACCCGCAGATCCATCACAAGACGCAATATCGTAAGTAGCAGTAAGCACTTAATGCAACTATCATACGGATGGCGCCCCCTCACAACACACCCACATGACCCCTATCGACTTTGGTAACAAAGTTTGTATTGTTGTTATATAAAAAATATCACCAACGTACCATAGTAGCACGCTACCAAGACGCCAATGAACAAACCTCCAAGTATCATAGCGTTAATGCACTAAGACATGAAGTTGAGTATGCCCGCTACACTTAAAAGTGCTACCTAATACACTCATCATCCCAACCCGAAAGATAGACGACATATCGCTATGCGCAACGACGTCGCCCACAAACGGTATGGGTGTGCGATGTCTACGGGAAAGCCGTATTGCTACAACAAACCCGCTTACCACCGGCACTAAGATGTTAATTGTATACCTCCATCGACCAGAACCACAAGAATGCGTCGAATCAGGCGCAGCACACCCGCAGATCTATCACAAGACGCAATACCGCAAGTAGCAGTAAGCATCAATGCAACTATCATACGGGTGGCGCCCCCTCACAACATACCCACATGATCCCTATCGACTTTGGTAACAAAGTTGGTATTGTTGTTATATAAAAAATATCACCAATGTATCATAGTAGCACGCTACTAAGACGCCAATGAACAAAACTCCACGTATCATAGCGCTAATGCACTAAGACATGAAGTTGAGTATGCCTGTTACACTTAAAAGTGCTACCAAACACACTCATCATCCCAATCCGAAAGATAGACGACACATCGCTATGCGCTACGACGTCGCCCACAAACCGTATGGGTGTGCGATGTCCACGGGAAAGCCGTATTACTACAACAAACCCGCTTACCATCGGCACTAAGATGTTAATTGTATACCTCCATCGACAAGAACCACAGGAATGCGTCGAATCAGGCGCAGCACACCCGCAGATCCATCACAAGACGCAATACCGCAAGTAGCAGTAAGCATCAATGCAACTATCATACGGGTGGCGCCCCCTCACAACACACCCACATGACTCCTATCGATTTTGGCAACAA